CTTGACCCATCTTACGTGTTTAGTACATCGTACTGAATATATCAAATTGCAAAGATATTAATGCTGTGTACTTGTGGATATTAACAGGCTATTTAGCTTGTAAATTCAGTAGACTCTATATGAGCAGTTGTAACACAGTACTTAGATCTAAAATGAGTTAATGGGTGAATGGGTTAGTTTTTGTTTAGACCTCACCGAACATACGGCTACTGGTTTATAGAGAAGTCGGGGATGCATGTGAAGGAAAGAATGTCAACTCAATTTCAATTGGTTACATGCAGCATGCGTTTTATAGTACCCATTTAATTAAGCAAAAAATAATGATCTTTTATTTAGTTTAATGAACTCGGAAAGTTCGAGGCATTTTCTTATACATTTTTTTCCCCGTAATACCCATGAATAATCGCCAATTTTTTTAAAAAAACTTCGAATAATGTTGTTGGGGTATGTAGCAATAAATGCTCAAGGAGTTCATTTCCTATAGAAGTATGGATACATTATTCGGGTATAATGGCCTCATATCTCTCGATTGATAATTCATTCGTTTGTACTAATACCTTTTCAAAAAAAAAAAAAAAAAGAAAAACGTGTACTAATACTATCGTGTCGGAGAGTATTTAAAAATAATACAATATTTAGCAGGTGACTGTTTATGCAAAAATAATCAATAAAATTTGACGCACGCTTGCAAACAATATCAGACGAAGGTGTGTAATTCGTGAAGTTCAAGTATTCGGCTAGGTTTGAAGGAAAGAATATTGAAATTGATAAAGGCTTAAATAAAAAACTGAACATAATACTGAATTGATGACTTTAAACGAAATACAAGAGTAAATCAAATAAAAAGACTTGCAAAAAGAAATAAAAACAATAGGGTATCAAAAGAAAGAGAGAGCTTTGCAGCTTGTATTGTATGTATATTAATGATGAGATGTGTGTCCTGCCGCTTCTACTCTTCTCTTTATATAGGCTCGGTAATTTCGAATGTCAGTGAGATCTCGGATTCCTACTCTAATCCGGTATTGCCGATTTAGAAATGTACTTGTATATTATTTCCGATTCCCTTCTATGATCTCAATTCAATTTGGACTCAAATTCGGCTTCTTCTTGTGTCGCGTCTGGACCCTTGACGTGTTTCAAAATTTGAATTGGGACTGAACTCTTGCTCTACGTCGGATGTGGATTATTGCGCGAAGTTGGGCCGATTCACCACTGTTGTTGGGCCGACTCGATTTTTATTAAAATCGGTGGTAACATAAAGCCTCCCAAGGCACGGCTTATTTTCGAATGTGGCGTGTCTTGAGTATCAATCGGGCCAACAATAAATAGGCCTAATGACTAGTAGCCCAAAACCTAGAAATGGTGTATGGCGGCCCCCCAGTCAACGGTGTAATGAAGGCAACGGCTTTGATTGATAAGATCAGAACCAATTAACTCCAAATCAAACTGTTGGGAAGGGAGCGTCGATTCAAAGAGAAATCGAGGGGATAGCAAAGAGAAATAACGCATCTTCTCCTCACTTGGTTTCATATCTGCATTTTGTCCACCAGAAATCCCAAAAGCTTTGTTTTTGACTCCTGCCGGCGATTCGATTCAAACAAATCCCTCAATCAGAAAAACACCGATCATCAAAACCCACCATTGCTGAAGCATATACTGTGAAATTTGATGCAGATCTGGCGAAAAAATGCGAGGTTTAAAGCAGAGGATCTACTGGCGTTAGCACCGGATTTTGAAGAGCTGTTGAACCCGCATGGGCCACCGCATCACTACTCTCTGGGTCCAAGTATGATGGCGGACAATGCCACTTTGCGGAGATATGTACCGGTGTTACATCCGGAGAATCTGTCGCACCGATTTCTGTGCACCGGGTTTGGGCGGATTCAGGGCTGGCCATAGACATCGGAGAAAGGTAATATTCATCAAGAATTCTGTAAATGGGCAAAGATGATGGAGAAGCATCATGCCGAAACCTTTGAAGTTTCTGTGTGTTCCCTGTTCCACTATTCTTTCTCACAAGATGACATTCTCAATGAGAAAAATCGTAATAACAATTATTCAACTCTATTCTTATTTACGAATACATAATCACTTATATCGATCGTATCAAAAGGCTGCTTGCTAAACGGGGATTCCCAGTGACATGGGCCTAGCTTTCCAAGCTACATTGTATACATATAGAAAGCAAGCAACCTTAAATCATAATCCAAACTCAAGTTTTGTGTACTCTACATCTCAAAGTTGACACATAGATTCATCAACTACTATTTATGGGTTTTAAGTATCAATGAATGGGTTCAACTGCATATGAGGTGCTTTGTTGGCTGTGGTTTCAACAAATTGAAAAGGAAGGCACTTTGTAGAGCTATAAGTGCATATGTATATATGGATTGAGAGGAATGAGAGAAGATTCGCACAGAGGAAAAAGCTGGTGACTGAAAGATTTTGGGAAATTAAAATGAAACTGAGATGGAAGTTTGCAGCAACTTGCAGGAAAATAGAAAATTTCTGAACTAAATATTTTGGATAGAATAGGAGTATAATTGTATAGGTTGAAAGTTACCCTATCTTTCTTTGGGTTTTTTTTATTGAGTGTACAGAAATGTAGGAAAGTGTAAGAATGTCTAGTTGGTTTTTTGTTTGAGTTATCTAAAATTATTGTCCAGTTTGAGTTTTCACTTCTAGTACAAATTGAACTAAAAATGAAAATAACTGGACAATAATAATGGGACGGAGGGAGTAATATATTTATCATTTACCAAAAAATAAAAAATAAAAATGAATGGGTTCATTGCTTAATCCTACAATTTTACTAAGCCCAATCCGAGGTGAAAGTGTCTAAAATTGAGAAGTCATGCCAACTACTTTTGGTGTCATCGAATACTTTATTTTGGGCATCCGTCAATTAATAAAGCCCAATATATTTTTTTCCAAACTTCTAAGCACATTTTATTAGTATTGGTAATCAACTTCTAAGCACATTTTTAATAGTTAAAGGACGAAATTAGAAGAAATACAGTGTTTAATTTTGATGTGTATCTTTTCTTCGATTTTGTAGTTAGTTTTACTTCTTGCTCATTCTCCAAAATTAAATTGGCACATATTTGTACTAGTATAACTATACATATTCGTACGAGCATTTTATATTTTATTTTTTTATTTTCCTGAAGGAACATATCCTCCATTTCTAATTGGCAATTTTAATGTATATACCTCGAGCAAAGTCTGACAATTCCAAGTTTTGTCTTTTCATATTTCAAAAGGAAAATAAGTTAAACTTATAATAAATTGCCATCGATCTGGACTGGGTTCAATTTCATGTATTTAGGTTCATTTTCAACCAAACCTTGAAGATGAGTTCAAGTTGGGCAGCTAATTGACAACTCCATTACAGACTGTTCCTTAATTCTGGTATACCATCACCAATGAAGAAAAGTATAATAACCACAGCTCCCACCGTACAAAAAAAAAAAAAATTGTTGAGATAAAACAATACAATAAAATGAATTATTTTCTTTTTTCGTGAATGGAATTGTACTCCCTCCGGTCCTTATTATAAGACATTTTGATTTCGTTTTAGGTTTCACCTAAGATGTCTTTTTAATCGAAATAAAAACTTTAATAACATTTCATGATAAATAGAAGAATACGGCGAACATGAAAATATATTTTTAAAATTTTTTTAATTTAAAAATCATTTCAAGTAAAACTTAGGATGAAATCAAAATACTTTTATAATAAGGACCGGAGGGAGTATTTTTTAAAGGAAAAGTACCAAAGAATAAAGAAAAAGGAAATTACTATCAATGATTAAATGTTGAAATAGCCAACAAGAACTGGACTGCAACATTTGCTTAGGGACGTCATCAAGGATGCCATCGTGGTGATCTCTTTTTGGCTTTTTGCACCTGGCCGGTTCGATATACACATAATTACAATTCATTTTTTTTTACTCTTTTTAAGTTTTTTCTTTTTAATTTAACATCAAAATTTTTATTTTATCCGTTCCAAAAATATATAAGACTATTATTTTCTTTTATTTTTTTGGATATATTAAAAGTAAAACTAAATTTGTTATTCTTATTCGTAATGTAAAGTGAAACTCTATATGGGAATAAACGATAATTTTTTGAAAAAAAAAATGTTTATGACTTTGCCCAAAGTTGGAGCCTTTCTCTGTTTTTAATGTTTCTTTTGTTAGCAAAAGACGTCACGCGAGAGACAACACATGTAGGAAGATAGTTTTCTGTCCATGTTATTAATATATACTTTTGCATTTGGATTAAAAGTTACAAAATGTTGTTCCCTTTGTTAAAATAACCTGTTGGTATCACTCAATTCAGACTGGTTTCTAATTCAAAATGAAAATTTATAATTTTTTTTCTAAATTTTGAAGCAATGATCATTTGGTTGTGTGGCTGCTAGGTTCGGTGTAAAAGATTTTATGTGATATACTCTTTCCATCCCAATTTACAAGTCCACTAAATAATTCAAACAGAGTGAGTAGTAAAAGAGAACGGAAAAAATGAAAAATAAAAAGTTAACACTCAGATTATAAAAATGATATGACATTAGATTTTCGAGAGCATTTGTATACACCGAAGAAGTTTTACGGGAAAACATAACAAGAAATATGTAAATTAAATGAATTACAGTCGTTTTATTTATATATTTTTTAAGGATTTGCTCATTTAAGATGAAGTGGATAATTTATATTCATTTTTTTTTAATCGTAAGGGCACACTTAAATGTTTGGATTTTGATAAACAGCCTAATGAACTCATATATTAAAATGCGAAAAATTCTGAATACGTAATATATTAAAGAAAATGTCAAAATATAAATTGACATTTTACCTTTTTTTTTTACAAAATATAGAAATTATTAGAATGATTCTTCGATGATGTATATGGACCAAAATCACTTGTGATTTATTCCTTTCTTTAATGTCATATTGTCATTTTCCTCCTTACAAAAATTATTAAATGAAAATATTTTGGTTCTAAATGATTTTTTCTTTTTTTGAACGAAATAGTAACACATATATTTACGAAGGAACTGAAGAAGCAGCGCCGAGCTGAAGAGTCTTCATTTTGACTTCTTCATCTTCCTCATTTCCCCCACCTGCTGATTTTTACCAGTCCACCGCAAATTCTTAGCCCGACGAATCGTTTTTTATTTTCTCTTTCGAATTATATATTGTTGATTTTTTATTTTATTTTATTTTTTTTCATTACCCTCTCTTCGTGATTTTTAAATTTCGGTTTTAAAGCAAAAAATGAGGGACGCTAATAGCAATTGGGATTTGTTTGACCCGAGGACTGCCGTGATGGACACCTCCGCCGCCGCTTTCTCTCCCGCCGACGGCGTGAGTCGCGACCCTGATTTCGGTTTTGCCTTCAACGACAGTAATTTTTCCGACCGGGTTCTCGTGATTGAGGTCTTGGCCGACGATTCAACCAATTCTCTTAACTCCGACGCCGGCACTGCTCCCGGAGGAGGATGCCAGACTCTCGCTGATTGGGCTCGGTATCGGAAGCGGCCCAGAGAAGACTTCAGAAAGCAGCATGGTAGTATTTTGTTTTCGAAATTAGGGTTTTGTTTTCCCCCTTTTTTTGCTGGTGTTGACCTTTTTAAACGAAATGATGGATTGATTCACCTTTGAAATTGTGAAGGTTTTTAGTTTCGTTTTTTAATGATGAAGAATTTTGTGATGATTGATTGGTGCCTTATTTAACCAGATATATGCCAATCATTTGCAGCTTTGGATATCACTGCTGTGGGCCCCGAGGAGCAAGTCTTGAACGTCGATCAGCCTGAAGCCGAGGATTTAGTGCGGGGCGAAAATCAAGACGAGGAAGAACTTGCTATGATGGAAGAATCACCCTCCGGTATTATTAGCTTGGTCGAAACTTACTTTCTATTGAGCTTGACCATGTTTCCAAACTTATCATGGTCTTCGAGCTTTTGGTTTTCTTTCTTCTTTGTAGACTTTTGCCTGGCTCGTAAGATTAATGCATATATTTTGGGTTTTAATTTAGATGAAGATTTCTGTGCTGATGAATGACCTTGGTTTCTTTAGAGAGGTGGTTATTTGGACAAATAAATCCTATCATGTTTTGGTCTGTTATCTCTCTAAAGTGTATACGCTTGTTTGCTTTGCCGATTTGCCGAAAGATAAGTTTAAAAGAAAGCTATTAGCTTGCTTGTGGTTGTGGGCAGTGCCAGGACTAAGATTGTTTGGGTTGGTATTTAACTAAGAACTATGATGTGCCTGTATCAATACTCTCTGACCTTTGAGTTAGTCTTTGTTGGTGGTTAAGCCAAATCAAATGTGTGAATGTTGACTTTCAGATACATTTATTGTCTTTCAAAGCTTTCTACTTACAGATTTTGAAATGTAAAGGTTATTGGTTTAACTGAAAAGATTCTATCAAACATCTTTTAAACCCTACAAAGATTTTGTAGAAATGTCTTTCAGTTTGCCCACCAAATATAAAATCATTAAGAAGTCTATCGTCAGAAAAATTGACTCGGAAATTAAAGGAGAAATGATTAGTAATTTTTCCCCTGCTCAAGCCTAGTACATTACTCCTTGAGATACTATAGTATAAGTTGATGTTTTAGGCAGATATTCCTCACGTAAACTGAGAAATGTCATTGTGGCATCTAGATTTCTATAAAACTGAATTACGTGAAGTCTACTTTTTTGTCCACTCTGGAAATTTGTCTGATTAAGTATTTCATGGCTGGAAAATGCTCATCTGCAATGGCCTCACTGTGGTTATAGTCTGTTGAGTTGGATGCTTTTTTGTAAAATTAGTCTTCTCTAAACTGGTGAAAGTGCTGCTGATGTTAACTTCTGCATTGCAAACTAGTTTCACCTACCGCTTATTGTAAATATTTTCATGTTTTTCCAATAGGGGATGAGGCTGCAAATAGTGATGATTCCAATTGTGACATGGGTTCTTCAAGAGTGCTAAGAGTTAGGACGCTACATATTAGCTCCCCTATTCTAGCAGCAAAAAGCCCTTTCTTTTATAAGGTAAGGATTGATTTTCTTTTCACTTTGCATATCTTTTTTACTTGTTGAATTGCTAGATGATGCTTGTTTGCTTCTAATGTTTGTATAGCTTTTCTCAAATGGAATGAGGGAGTCAGAACAGAGACATGTAACCCTGCGAATTAATGCCTCAGGTACATGGCCAGTATTTTGGGTCTTTTAAGTTGTCTTTCTGTAGAGTTTTTGCATGTATAATGTTTTGGTACCTGCATATCATGTTGGATTTTTTTTTATAGTTAGTAGCTATTGTCATCGTTATCCAGTATTGATTGTTTTTCTTTTTTGGAGCAGAGGAAACCGCACTTATGGAGCTTCTTAATTTTATTTATAGCAATAGCTTAAGTACGACTACGGCGCCTGCTTTGCTGGATGTGCTAATGGCTGCAGACAAATTTGAGGTTGCCTCGTGTATGAAGTACTGCGGCCATGTCTTACGTAGTTTGCCTATGACACCAGAATCTGCATTGTTATATCTGGAACTCCCATCTAGTGTGTTAATGGCTGAAGCCGTGCAGCCCTTGACTGATGCTGCAAAGGAATATTTAGCTGCGCGCTACAAAGATATAACAAAGTAAGTTTCTTACTCAACTATTCTTGGTCTGATCTGGGGTTTTGTCCCATGATTCGATTGTAATTGCAAATTGCAGTTAAGTGAAATGAGGTGACGGCATTTATTCTTTTCTCTGCACAACTGTACAGTAAAAGTTGGTCTTGGACTAATAATATTTCATTGACTTGGTTGCACTTTTCTCAGGTACCAAGATGAGGTTATGAACTTGCCCCTGGCTGGAATTGAGGCAATTTTGGCCAGTGATGATCTCCAGGTGGCATCGGAGGACGCTGTATACGACTTTGTTTTGAAGTGGGCCAGAGCTCACTATCCAAAAATTGAGGAGCGGCAGGAAGTTCTTGGCTCTCGTCTGAGTCGTTACATCCGCTTCCCTTATATGACCTGCAGAAAACTTAGGAAGGTTCTAACTTGCAGCGACTTTGAGCACGATCTTGCTTCCAAGTTTGTTATCGAGGCCTTATTTTTCAAGGCTGAGGCACCTCATCGCCAGCGAGCTCTTGCAGCGGAGGATTCATCCACTTCTAGTCGTCGATATGTAGAGCGTTCTTACAAGTATCGCCCCGTAAAGGTGGTTGAATTTGAACTTCCCCGTCAGCAATGCGTGGTTTACTTAGATCTCAAGAGGGAAGAATGCGCCAATTTGTATCCTTCTGCCCGAGTTTATTCACAGGCATTCCACTTAGGTGGGCAAGGGTTTTTCCTGTCTGCACATTGCAATATGGACCAACAAAGTTCTTTCCATTGTTTTGGTCTCTTCCTAGGGATGCAAGAAAAAGGTTCAGTAACATTTGCAGTCGACTATGAGTTTTCTGCAAGACTGAAGCCATCGGAGGAGTATATAAGCAAATACAAGGGTAATTACACATTCACTGGGGGGAAAGCTGTTGGATATAGAAATTTGTTCGGGGTGCCATGGGCTGCATTCATGGCCGAGGACAATCTTTTTTTCATCAATGGTACACTCCATTTGAAGGCGGAGCTTACCATGAGGCAACAATGAGTTGTGTGATTCTTATATGCACTTCGGAAAATCTTTAGTTTTCTGATTCCGATTTATCTTAGGGTTTTGAAGAAGAGGGGGGCAAAGAAGAGAGTGGCACTTTACTGACAAGTCTTAATTAGTAATTGGGTTGCACAGGTGAAGAAGATGTAAATGGTATTTATGTATGGTTCCACCCGGTGATCTCTGACCTTTTGAAGGATTCTCTTGACAATATTAAACATTGGCTAACCATGGATTTATGTTTGTGCTTGATTTTGTTCAGGCTTTCATTTCAATTTAATCTGAAGAAAATGAGCTGCGGAAATGCCGTCATTTACTCTATTTCATGTTTGTTCAATGCAGCATATGTATACCTGTTGATCAAGTAAGAATAGTTGATTGTTGTTTCCATAGTTCGGCATTTTTACAGAATCGGTAGTTCTAAGTGGTATTCAATTTGAAACTCTAGCCTCCGGGCAAAATGAAACTGCCTTTCCAGAAATCCTAAAAATGCTATATGATGGAGTATTTATGGTAAGGTAGTATGCACGTAGTGCGAGGGCACCTTTGAACGAGCAATCAATATGGTTGATTTCTCCCGTCTTCGAAGTCTCCATTTGTTGGAAATAGGACTTACTATCTCTAAGAAGCAATTTGACCCAAGACTCGTAGTCTTGTTAATATAGGACTTATTATCTCTAAGTAGCAATTTGACCCAAGACTCGTAGTCTTGTTGGAAATAGGGTTGCATCTTATCACCAAGTAGCAATTTGTCGGCATCATACCTTCGATTCGATGTATCACCAAATCGGCATCATACCCTACAAAATATTTGCATTTTTACGAGTATCCCTCTACTGCCGTCCAAAAATCACTTGAATCTCATCCAAAAGTTCTACAATATTCACATTGTTTTGCCTTTTCTAATGGTTGATGCACTTTCCTCCCGGAAAATTTGGAGCTAGTTTTGTGAAACATATGAGATCCATGGCTGGATCCCTGTTTGGAGATGGATATACATTGCACTTTTGTAGACCTTGAAGGTGAGCTCATTAAATGGAAGAAGTAATTTGAGGAGGATGATATGGATGGCATAGGAAACGCGCTGGTCAAATTTCTGAAGCCAAATATGATCAATAGTGGATTATCTCGCAAAAATGTTTCAATCAACTTGGTCTCGATTGGTTCTTGCTGAGAATGCTTTGGAGATCCATAGGGCACCTGTCTGATGCAGCTAAGTTAAATGGAGAATGCGGAATTATTCATCTGCAAAGTTCGTGTAGCTGGAGATGAGATTCTCAAGGATTCACATTCATGTAATAATATTATTCGATTTGCTAGATGACTGCCAAAGAAAGGCTGACGATCTTACAGAGAGATTCAAAGTATCTCTAAACTCTGAAGGACTTGCCAAAATCTTCATCAATTGCATATTTTCCCAGGAAGCAGAGGCTGCCTTTTCTCGTCGCTAGATGCAACACCAATCTAGCAGTAAGCATCTTTTAGCTCCTACAAAATCTGAAAGCTATAGAATGAGCTTTTTAAAACGAAACGATCACATTTTATTGCTCACCAACCTTCTGGCCCTGGAGCTTGTTCCTAATTGTCATTCTTTTTGTGTTCTGTTTTAAAGCCAAAATCTCCTCATGATGTCCCTCCTTCATTTGCCACAACAACTTCATGTTACTCCGGGTTTTGGATATGGAATCTATCATGGGCATTAGCTTTCCAGTTGAGATTGTAGTAATGCTCCATTTGAGATGTCTAGCCGCCAGTGGTTATATGCGATACATTCCACTTTCAATCTCAACTTGTCAAAACTTAAAAATTTGGTTGTGAAGGGATTACGAGGTGAAGTTAAACTACCAGAAACTGTTTGGAGCATGGTGTTTGTGTGAAAATTGTCCACCCGAAATCGTGGAGAAAAAGAGAACGGACATTACTCAAAATATAATTAAATTAGATGATTGTGGTTGAGTTTGAATTGGTCTCAAATCAAGATCGAGGTCTTAAAATTATTGGCTTTAGTTTGAGATAGACAAACAAAAACTAGGAGAAATAGACGGCGTTTGATTTATAAAGTGAGAAATCGCCAACTGTCGACTGCGGATCGGTCTCACGCATAGTTTTGTTGGCAGCCTACAGAAAACCAATGATCAGGCTAGATTTTGGTAGACAGTCGTTGACACCTCCAAAAGAAATAAATACCTAGTTAAAACTATTAGCTAGCAGTAAGTAGGGTCGATCCACAGAGACGACAGTGAACAACTTCAAATCTGATTAATGTGCAAGCAAAAGAAAAATAAATTTGAACAGATTGTCACTTGGGAGAGTGAGAATAGCCACTTGACAGAGTGAGAAAGCAGAAGGGTCATCCACCTTCCTATCTATATGATCCAATTTTGATTCATTTCAGTTCTTGTTGCATATGATTTATTGTCTGATCAAGCACTTGTATTCTTTACATTCCCCTTCGTTACTAGTAAAGAGTCCCAGTATAACCAAATTACCTAACTCTCAGTAATAATTATTCATTATTCTGAGCCATTAAGTTTTGAGCCTTATTGATCACCTATGCCAAACAACTAACTCTCATTGATGATTAAAACCAAATGGTTGCTGTCTCCTTTGTCATAGGCTACTTTAAGCCGTTCTAAAACTATGTTCACCCTCTCAGGATTCCATAATTATGCATGCACATTTAGCTAAGTTACCAGTTTAACTAGAAAATTAGTTAAATATACTTAAACTAGAAACAATGCCTTATATAAGAAACTGAATCAAAACCTTCACATATAGATAGTAGGGATTAGGCCCTTAACTGAGTTTAATTACTCGTGTTTATTGAGCTAAACATGAGAACAACAAAGTACAAAAGATTAAATATGATAATGAACAAAAGGTTAGAGGACAGAAGAGTAGTAGCAGAGCAGATTTTGTCTGCTCACTTGGGGAAATGTACTTGGTCACTTGTCCGAGTGACAGTCTGCACTCTTGGTGCAATTACTACACTATTTCTATCCTAACTAATTTAACTAACTACTCTGATTTTGATCTAATTCAAACTACCCAATTTTTTTTTTTTTACTAACTGTTATTGGCTGACCATTTATAGATATTTGGAGAGGTTTGGATTGGTTGAATTTATGGCCTTCTTCTTTGCAGCTGACAGAGGTAGCAACCTGCAGAGGTTTGCTTATTTAGTAACTTGTCCCAATTGCCAAGTTGCTGTCTCCTTTGTGGCTTCTCCTTCTTCTCCAACCGCAATTAGTCACCTTCCTCTCATCATTGCTTCTTTTTCTAGTCTTCTTCTCTAGTACCTCTTCACCAATTTCAGTCACAAATCTTTATTTCTTCTTTCTTTGATCTTCAGTAGCAGTAATAGCAGAGGTAGCAAGCAGCAACATCAGCAACATGCTTCCCTTCCATCGTTATGTCTATTCCTTTTCAGCCCCTAATTAGGCCTCAAATCTTCTGCTCTTTTCTTTCTTGTCTCTCGGGATCACTTGCAGCACCATTTCACTGCTCCTGCAGCAACCATTCTTTTACTTCAGTCAGCTGCAATAACATGCGGCAAGTAACAGAGTTGCAGCTACCTTCTTCTTCATATTCTCCCTCTTTCTCTTTTTCCACTTGCAGTAATAGCAACTTGCAGTGATGGTGATACAATTCCTTCTTTTGACAGCAAGATTTCAGCTATGGTTCTTCCTAATTGACTGGTGATATAGTGTAGTGAAGGGTAGGTGACCTTGAAGAGGTTTACTAGGGTGGCGATTAATCAAAAACACAGCGGTTTTAAAAGCAAAGTCCCAAAACCAAAAAGGAGTACTAGAATGGCCAAGGAGAGCAAGTCCAATGTCGACAATGTGACGAATTTTGCGTTCAGCAGTGCCATTCTACTCATGAGTGTGTGGACACGCTAAACCATGAACAATACTGACATCCTTAAAGAAAGAATTGAGAAGACGAAATTCACCACCCCAATCAGAGTTAACATTTTTAATGGTAGTGCCAAATTGATTTTCTACGAGAGCTTTGAATTGCTTGAAAACATGGTAAACATCACTTTTATACTTAATGGGATAAATTCATGTGAATAAAGAGAAATCATCAATAAAAAGCACAAAGTAGCGATAACCATTAAATGACAAAATAGGAGCAAGGCCCCAAACATCAGTGTGAATTAAATCAAGAGGTTTAGAGCTACGACGAAAAGTAGAAGGTAAACTAACCCTATGCAACTTCCCTAAACAACACACCTCACATTTATCAGTGGACATGGACACAGAGGAATGAGGGAGAAACTGCCTAACCAAAGTACGAAGAGTGACATTATTAGGGTGCCCGAAACGAGCATGCCATTGACCTAGACAAGATAAACTGTTGGAGACAAGGAACCACGAGCAGGAAGATCTAAGCGATAGAGACCATTATCAGCCCGACCGCGGAGGAGGAGTTCCTTGGTTGAAAGATCCTTAACACAACAAGAGTCAGAATAAAATTCAAAGAAACAGTGATTATCACGGGTAAACTTTTGAACAGATAACAGAGGCTTAGTAAGAGAAGGAGCATGCAAAACACGATTTAAATAAAGAGGACGAGAAAACGATGGCAAAACAGATTGACCAACATGCTAAATAGGTAAAGCATCACCATTACCAACTAAAATATGATCCGTACCATTATAATCATTGGAGATACTGAGAGAGGACAAATGGCATGGCATGATCGGTAGCACCAGTGTTCGGATGCCAGGGAGTGACAGGAGGGGCATACTGCGCCATACGAGCTTGAGGAGACATAGTCGACTCCGAGTAAGACGGAGGAGGCAACAAACTAGCCAAATGCTGTGTAGGAGAAACTGCCTGGGCATAAGCAGCCGACCGAATGGCAGGGGGTCGAGGAACAAAATTAGCATCAAAGCGGCGTCGGCAAGTGGCGGCCGTGTGATTCAAGATGCCGCAAAACTGACACGTCTCACCCGGCGCGGGAGGGGTGTACCCACGCCGACCACCACGACGACCAGAAAACTGATTGCGCCGGCCGCCGCGTTGCGAGCGACCGGCACAAGAGGATTGAGGCGGCATAGGAGAAGGTGGCGACTGCACAAGCATGGCCATCGGCTGAAGAACCGGCTGTTGGGCGTGAAGAAGCACCTCATACGAAACTAACTGTCCAAGAAGATCTTGATAGGAGGGGGGTTCGGATCGCTGCTGCAAAGCTCCGATGATACCATTGAATTCGGCACCAAGCTTGCGGAAGATTATGGCATTGAACTCCGCTGGAGATATGCGATGGCCGACAAGCTGCAGTGACCGATAAGTCACCTTTTTGCAAGCTGTGGAGCTTTATAACAAGCTGGGTCTGTTGAGCATAAGAAAGAGTGCCGAAACCCTGCTGAAGAGCTGTCCATGCTGCCGCCGATGTTGTGGAGCCCTGGAGAACGGGAAAGATCTCTTCAGCAACGGAAGAAAGAATCCAAGAGAGGACCAGCTGATCCTTTTGCTGCCAGATATCAAACTCAGGATTGAGTTGGGGTGCGGCACCACTGGCGGAAGGAAGAAAACGCGGCGGTGCAGGTTCGGTACCATCAACAATACCGGCAACACGAAACATAGTGAATAGAGGAGTAAACTGAAGACGCCAAGACGAGTAGTTGGCCCGAGATTTTAGCTTCACAGTAAAAGAGTGATTGAGAGACTGTAGACTAGGTTGAAGAAGTGATACCGGCATCTGTGAAGGAGGTGCCGCGGTCCGAAGAGGGGTAGCTTGATCGGTGGATGAAAGGTCGATGGTAGACATCTTCGGAAGTAAGCAAGCAGCAACACAAAAACTACAACGCAACAATGGAGCTACCGAAAGAAGGAGAGGCAGCGGCACACCACGAAGCTAACACCGAAAGAAGTAGATTCACTTCAAAGCAACCGCAGCAAAAAAAAAAAAAAAACAAACCAGATGTAGTGATCTGGGGAAAACGTGGCGGCAGGCAGCAACAATTAAGCAAGCAGCAGCAACGGCCGGAGGAAGGAGCATAACTGGCAAACAAGCTGCAGCAACAAGCAACCAGCAAAACAGTAGTAAATAGCAATGAAGAAAGCAACTAGCAAAGCAGCAGTAAAAAATCAACGTAGCCTTCGTTACAACAACCAATCAACAAAGACAACGAAAGCAAGCAGCAACACTAATAAAAGCCGCAACAATCAAGAGAGGGTAGCGATAGCCGCGGCAAGAACAAAGGGAGAGGACCAGCGGGGGGCAGCAGCAGCAGAGGCCTGAAAACGACAGTGGGCGGCAGCAGCAAGAAATAATAAATCAACGAACACAAGACGGCGTCAACATCGGCAATAATAGCAAGCGAAGAAGCTGACTATGGAAGAAGAGGCCAGCAAACAAAGGGAGAAACAAGGATTGTGGTCGACAAGGAAGAGCACACGGAGGCAAGAGGTCAAGGATTTTGGTCGGCGGGGGAGAAGGAGAAGAAAGAAGCCACGACCGGAAAAATAAAAAAACCCTAGCTCTGTACCAAGTTAGAATAGGGGAATTGTATTTCATTCATATATCGTTATGTACAATATACAGACTATATATAGACAATAACAAACTCTAAACAAGGATATTATAGTAAATATATTAAGTATTACAATAATTTGACTTATCCAATTCTGAGATTCAGCACTTTCAAAAGTGAAAACACTTCCAAGTGGTGGGTAGTTGATGGCAAGTGGAGATTCTTATTTAGTGCTAATTAACTAAGTGTATATTAAAGAATTCAAAGATTGATAATACTCCTATAAAATAACCAAGTTGAAGTTTGTTTTTGGTTGGTGCGCCCAGAGGCTGGAGCCCTTTATCGAATGTTGAATTTGGGATGAAAGGCAGCATATGTAAGCATAACTTGGTTTGTTGCGAGAAAGCAGCCTACCCTTTTTTTCTTTTAAAAGGTGGTAAATTTATTATCTCTCCATCCAAGAAATTCACCTCTAACTGATTGGGTTTTGGACAGTAGTCAAGCCATCAAATCATGATCATGTTGTATTAAAATACGATCAAGTTGTCTTAATTATTAAATTATAAGTCATCCAGAAGAATTAACTTATTGCTTAATTTCCTGGCAGAGTGGTTGGAAAAGCAATCATCTTTCTTTCATTTCTGGAATTTATTGTTTAACAACTCCCGGTTTTAATATATGCATTTCCGCACTTTGTACCAGAATTAGCCCTGACTCGGTCACATTTGCAAGCACTCACTTGTTATAGAAATCGAAATTAAGCCTTGTTTTGCTCTGTCTAACTGTTAATCTAGCTTTTCTCCTCAGAAATCTTGGAGTAAGATTCCTGAAATCCTTGAGATAATTTAAGAGGAAGGATTCCCAGGGATGCTGCCAATATATGAGATGTTCGATCTCCTGGAGAGAACGCTCATCGAATGGAAGGACTATGTAAACCAAGAAAAATCGAAAAGGAGCCGTAGGAAACTAGCTGGTCAGATTTTTGAGCCTAATGAGTATGGTGAGCTATTGGATTCTCTAACTGAAAAGATCAATCAGCTGGGACTGGATTGGTTCTTTCTGCAAATGGTTTGGCAATGGATGACAGAGTGTAAGGGAACTACTAGTATGTTCTTGCGGGATGAAAGATTATTCACTGAAAAAGTTGGTGATCCGGGGAATTTGATCTTCAATGATTTACGTTCATGTTACTTTCGAGCTACGAGGGACGGCCTCCTGGAATGGTCTCAAAAGACATTCACTTTGCTGGATGACTGCAAAAGAAAGACTGATGGGCTAATTGGGATTCGAGAAGCTGTAAAGGACATATCGACAAAATCTGCATCAGCTGCATACTCTCCTGCAGGTGGTTTTCGGCTATTTTTCAATGATTATGTGAGAACGAATATGTGGATATTCAATGATGCGGGTGATGGTGTTCTTGACAAGAAGCTAGTTTCCATCTACAGCGAGCTGATATCGATCTACACGTATTTGGAACTTTTGGAAAAGTGCCAATGGAATGATGGTAGTAGTGTCCAGGAGTTGGCGGTACCTGTGACGATGAGAATCGCTATTCAGTTTTGTAATCTCTGGTTCAATAGAAATGACCCGGAAACTGCGAGTGTTATCGCCCGAGAAGTGGAAAGTTTGCTTCAGGAGATTGATCCTTGTACAAATCTAGAGTTCCTGCAGCTCAATCTCAGATGCCTTATGTCAACCTACCAATCTAGTTTCCAGCAAATTGGATGGAATGGATGTGATCTACTCATTAAAGATTTTTGCTGCTACCTTTGCAACTGGTTTCACAGAAAAAACCTGGATTTGGCCTCCCTGGTTACCGTTTTCATTGACATCAGTGTAAATGAAGGCGAGAAGGATTTGCACAATTTATCTGCTGAGATTAAGGCATTGCTAGCAGAGGCTGCATTTTTACACCGCAAGGTGCAACGTGATCTAGCTATAGATTACTTAAAAGCATCCCACTCGTCGATTAAATGGAACATAGCTGAAAGGAAAGAGCGAGAAGTAGCCGCTGCGCTGGCACCTTGTTCCGAGTTACAAGCAAATGTTTGTCTCCTCAAGGCAGAGCTTTTCCTCAAACAGCGACTCAACGCTCGCGCTTCCTCCACGCTCTTCAGTGATGACCGGTTTTACAAAGTCGACATGGTCCTCGCCGACCTGAGGGCGCTGAAAAGACAAGTATGTGACGAGCAAGGGAACACAGAATACGTGAAGCGGAGTTTGGTAGTGGCTGAAGAGTTGGCTAATGAGATAGAATCACTCCAGAAGTCGCTTCATTCAAAGACGGTAACTAACCCTTTGTGTAGAAGATCACTTCAGCAGTCGCTGTTTAGGATTGTCTTCTTCAAGGCCGAGTCGATTTTAGCTGAGTTATTAAGGATTGGTGGAGATACTTCCTTAGGTAATGAGATGCATAAAGTTGGATACCTTGTTGAGGAGCTTAAACATTTCAAAGGGTTTGTAGCAACTAAGCTGTCAAGTAATCCGTCAGACGACGAATTAGTCCTCCTACAGATTGAAGTGGTTACAAGGGAGATAACACTTCTGTCTTACTCTTATCTCCCTAACCACAAGAAGTTCGAGAAGATAGTCAATTCATTGCCTCAGTTGTTGGATAAAGTGCGCACTCTGAAGGCAAAGCTCTCTGAAACATGATCCTGCTGAGTCAATTGAGCCGGTGAAGCATCATCATATTGGAGGAAGTTCAGTTGCATTTGGAGTCCTGATTTGAAATCTTTTGTCCTGAAAGTTAAAGATTCCGATGTCGAATCTGTTAAGAGGTTGATGGTCTGCTCATATGCAGCAATCAAGATGTGGTGATCAACAAGTAGGCAATATATATCATGGTCTTCTTTTGCTTCTTTTGCTTTTGTTACTGTGTCAGAGAGGATTGTTAGTGTGTGCCTGTGCGCGTGCTCTCTCATTGATGCGCAATTTATTAGCTAGGTCATGAATGCTCAAGTTGAAGCAATGTTTTCAGTCAAAAACGGTTCAGAATCTTCATTGATGTTTGTGTTGTGTAACCCTGACTAGTACGCCAGTGTGGAGTGAGTTTGGGGGAGATCTATCCATTTGATAGTCCAACTTATACTTCTGTTAGAAATTCCAATTTCATGTCGAAATACCAAATTATTATCTTCATGATGTCCGCGATAAAAAAGAAGGTGCTGATAAAGGATTGTAATCAGGACATATTTTCTAAATGTTTTATTTCCTTTGTCGCAAAATTATTATTTAGTTTGAAATTTCACTTTTAGACTTTTAGTACAATTTGAACTAAAACTGAAAATCCAAATTAGATAATAATTTCGGGACGGTGGGGGAACTTGATTAGAGTTCGTATTTTCAACCTGAGTAAAGATTAAAACAGGGGGAATTCCAGCAGGATTAAAGATTTTCAAGGCTGAATTCTCAAAAAAAAAAACAAATAAATAAATAAATGACTAAATTCCGAAAATGGTGCTCTATATTAGGCCAAATGTATATTTTGGTCCTTTATAATAATATCTGGCTAAAATAGTCTCATACATTTTAGAATGTAACTTTTTTTATCATTTGGCACTATTCATACACTTTGACCATATTTAGTATCATGTCAATAGCAGTATTTTCTAAATAAAATTTTTATATTTAAGAAATTTTTTTGTATTAAATAAAATATCAATATAAATATTAAAATAACTACATTAATAAAAAATTAAGATTTTCAAATTAGATATTAAAATATTTTAAATTTTAATTTCTTAAACTAACATAAAAAATAATTTAAAATTTTTTACTTTTTTCACAAATTTATATTATTTTTAATTTAGAAAGCTTGAAATGAAGTAAAAATATTACTCTTATGACAATTTCTAACATAAAAAATATTAATCTAAAATTTAAGATAATATACTCAAGACTAATTTCTTATTTTGGATATTTTTTGTAGAGCACTAGATATATATAATAGAGTCCTAAAAAAGAAATACTAAAATAAAAAATTGTTTACGATTTCATATGATTTAGAGTTATTTTTAATAAAAAAAAAAGTTAGATTAAAAAGTCTAAAATCAGAAATTTAGAATTTAGTGTTTTTTAAAAAAATCAAAAAAAATTAAATATATTTTGTAATTTTTGTGGAGTTAGTTATAATAATATAAACTTATATTAATTATTAGGTTATTACTTTATTTGGTACGGTAAAATCTCTATAATTGCTCTTCGATACATTAATAATATCTTAAATTTTAAATTAATTATTTTTTTATGTTAGTCATTGTCATAAGAGTAATATTTCTAATTCTTTCCAAGCCTTCCAAATTAAGAATAATATAAATTTGAGCAAAAAATACAATTTTTTAATTTATTTTTACATAACTTTTAGGAATTAAAATCTCTTTGGTTTGTTTAATATCTAATTTAACATCTTAATTTTTAATTAATGTAATTATTTAAATATTATTAATGATATTTTATTTAATAAAAAATTTCAAAACTTGAAATATTTTATTCGGGAAATATCCCCATTAACTTGATTCTAAATCTGATCAAAATGTATAAATAGTGTCAAATGACGGAAAAAAATTATATTATAGAAGATTGAGGATTATTTTAGCCAAATGTTAATGTAAAAGACCAAAATATGCATTTGGCCTAATGTAGTAGGCCAGTTTCAGAATTCTTTATTTTCCCACTCGAATATGTTGAGGCGGTGGAAATTGGGAACGACTAATAATTTAGAAATACACCCCTCCGTGACCTCCACGCAATTTTCGGAGTATTTATTCTTTTCTTTTCCCCTTTATCTCTCTCTCTCTGATAAACAATATCAGACCAAGTCAAAATTAAGAAAATCCTCTTTTTTCCCAAATCGCGAACCATCTAGGGTTTTCTCCTCCCGTCTCCTTTTATCATCTCCATCCTCCAAATCGTTCAGAGAAAACCACCGCCGTCGCCGTAGAACAAGAAGATGCCGAAGAACAAGGGAAAGGGAGGTAAGAACAGGAAGAGAGGAAAGAATGAAGCCGATGATGAGAAGAGAGAGCTGGTTTTCAAGGAAGACGGACAGGAATATGCTCAGGTCCTCCGTATGCTTGGTAACGGCCGTTGTGAGGCTATGTGTATTGACGGTACCAAACGCCTCTGTCATATCCGTGGTAAGATGCACAAGAAAGTCTGGATTGCCGCCGGTGACATCATCCTCGTCGGCCTTCGCGACTATCAGGTACGGGGTTTTGGCCTTTCGTGCTTTCAGATCTCTTTTTGATTTATTGGATAATTATATCGAATTGATTGATTTGCCGGTTCTTCTGTTCTGAGTAAATGGATGAAAATTTTACACTTTGTTTTGGGGTATTTGTGGATGGTTGAGGAGTTGTTATTAATTTGATAATATTATGTTTTGACTTCTGGTAAATTGTATGACTATCTGCCACCGTAGGCATGAAATGAATTAAAGCATGCAGGTTTTCAATATAGAATAATTTGTTCAATCAAGCGTTAATCAGCTCAAGAGAGCAAATCTATCATACTCTGAAAATCCTATTTATGTTGTTTTAAGTGTGATTGAGCTGATCCTTTCTGAATAATTGGTTATTTGGGTTATGTTGGGGGAGTTGGCATCTTTTGTCTATGTTTTGCTCTATGTTTGACTATAGTTGTGCAGCAAAACTCATGAAAATGTTACTGCTCTGATTTCATCAGGATGACAAGGCTGATGTAATCCTCAAGTACATGCCAGATGAAGCAAGGTTGTTGAAGGCTTATGGTGAGTTGCCTGAGAACATTCGGCTCAATGAGGGTGTTGTCATGGATGAAGAGGATGACACTAATGCTGATGACTTTCTTGACTTCGAGGATGAAGACATTGACAAAATCTGAAACTTTGTATCGTTTTCTGTGTGGTGAGTTGAGGGCCGTCCATCTGCCCCTTGCAATACACACTGGACTTGAGGTTTTCAACATTGTTATTATTTGGTAGTAGAAAAACAGCACGAGACAATATTAATTTTGTAATGTTTGAAGTTATATTATATTTGAAGGTGATGTACCTTTTCATTTTCATGAAAGTTTATGTATTAAAAAGTTGTGCCTTGGCTGCTTCTGGATGCAATAATATTAGGTTATGCCGAAGTGTTTACTGTACGAAGAAAGAAGGTAGTTCTCTTCCTGCCTTTGGCAGTGAGCGGATAGATTCTCAGAGACCGGACTAGGGACATTTAGGTGCGATTGAGCTGGGATTTAAGAGAGCTTGGAACATGTTTGATCCCATCGTAATGTTGAGTAGGTAGCTTGTACGGTATTAGCTTCTTTGGTTTTGTTGATTGCGCTTCATTCCTTGTTAACATCTGCTGTTTTATTGTGTTAATACTGTGTTTTGCCACTAGGACTAGTTTTTCCTTCGGTGTCGGTGGAGGCAGAGTCTAGTTTTGCTAGTTTTCGCGCTTCCTCCTTAAACATCATTTCGTTGGGTGTGAACCCCCATGGACGTGTAGTGCAGCATTTGGTGTCCATATGGATATCCACAGATGTGTGTCGTTGGTGGACTAACTCAAACTGAGACTGTCAGCAAAAAAATGTTCCTGATAAAGCGCGCAGTAGTCCCCGACCAAAAAGCAATATTGCAAAATGAATAACATTGGTTTGGCACAATGAATAACATTATTTGAAAGTGGAAGTGAACTGTTCAAGTGTCAAATATTCCATTTAAGTGAATATTTGAAGTTAACGAACTGTCAAATTTCCCAAAAGAGGAATTGTTAAAAGCAAGACAAATAAATCTAAGGTGGTGGTTTGTACAAAACTCTTACCGTGGCAAGATTAGTTAATACTAATTGTTTTTTATACAACTATTTCATTAGATGGAGGGATCTTACTGAACCAGAGCTTGCATGAAATGTAGGAGACTTTTTAGTGGTACTTTTTAGTTTTTAGGTCAATATCAAGGAAAATGGTACACCGGTGCAGTTCAGCAGTCGCCTAGGAAGTTCTGGAGCGAGAATGTTGGCTCTCAAGTCTTGCTTCAAGAAGCTTCACTTTCAAAGTATTTTCTTCTGTTGCACCTTGATCCAGTCTTGAAGAAGATCCAGATGCCTGAGGATCTGGAATGTGCTTTGGAGATCCACTTTTCTGCTGGACTGGTAGTACCACTGAATGTGGATGGGTTGAAACAATTTCTTGAACCAAAACCTAGGGAGTACTACAATACAAGGTTCAGTTCATTTACCTTATCTGGGCTGAATTTCAGTTTGTATCTAGACATGCTGTGAGATACAGACTTACTGGATTCAAATCTTGGCAGCTAAACCAGATATTAGTTCGGACAACTGAATTCTTAGACCTCTTATCAGTTCCATCACAGAACTGTAGTGTGCACAGTCAATTAGCTTCAAATCATTAGACAGTTAGTCAGTACTGAGACAAACACAGCAATGCAAAAAAGTTGACCATTCCAGTGAAGAAATAGCATCAAGCTACCAGCTTCCCCTTTACTGCATAAGTTTTGAGTCAGCTATGGCCAAGGCTTCACCTTCACAATGAGCACGTAAAAACTTACAAAGACCCTTGCTTGGCTTGCTATCAATGAATATTGGCTGCTGCAAAAACAAGTAGCTTTTAGCTTTGCAATCTGTAAGAACAGTAGTCGAGTCAAGAGAACCATACAACAAGAAAAGACAAACTGAGATAAACTACAGTGAAATCAACAAGAGCATTGAAAACCCACTCCCAGGAGGGAGTATAGACAAAAGGGCTAAACAGGAATAGAAATTAAAAAACAACCAACGAAACTAAACACATCAATTAAGAAAAGTAAATTAAGTGGTTTCTTCTTAGAAAACGATCATCCATGTATCAAATCAAACGAAGTTTTGATCTTTACATGAAGAATATAAGAACGTACCTGGGCTATTTCAGATAGTGACTGCGTAATACCGTGCATTAAGTCAAGCTTGACGAGCCATCTCGAGTTTATCCAAGCGCGACTGAAGTACAGCCATGGCAGAAGTTCTGTTTGAATGTTGCGACCTGTCATTTGAACAGAGAAATTACTTTTCAGGAGAAAATGTATTGACACAATTTTTTCAAACAAACAAAAACCAGCAAGTGGTGTTCACTACCTTTCATTATGGTTTTCAGACCCTTCAGTCCCCGCGATGAAAAGGAGATATATGCATAGCTTAGATACAGAAAAGCAAATCCCTGGTGTTAACAATTTCATTTTAAATCCTGGAAGCAAAATCCGTCCTAATTCATCCAGGCAGAAATCAAAATCGAAAACAAATAAAACTATCAAGTGATAAAAATAGACAAAGACGCGAACTTCTAATCTAAACAACAAATCTTTCACAAAGGGTTTGCACATTTTATGATAGACAACGGAAGCTTACAAGAGTCCACGAATGGAATTTCGTAGATGCAACAACAACGATCTACTATAGACTCCAACGTCTACATTTGGCAACATAGCAATTTGCATCCAAGAAAACAAAATTAAGAACACAGAATTATTATACATTTTTTTTTGCAATTTCAAGGATTCAAAGGGTCTCACTGCCACAATTTTTAATTTTCAATCTCATCTCCGGTCCAACACTGTACCCTGCCTCTTTGCTTGCCCTTTCAGTAGGTGGTATGGGTTCAAATCGGAACCCAGTGATGGTGAATTCCCTGAGCATCAGTGTATGAGCACGATTTCCATCAAATTCATTTTACCTAACTTGAAACAAAAAAATTTAGGAACAATAATCCAGTCTTTTCCCACAAAGGTACACAAGATTCAGAACTTGAAAACACGCAAGGCAGCACTGCAGATTTAACAACCATTACATCCTCCTACAAGTAGTCAGCTACAAAGATCCACACGCAAAATAATTGGTGCTGCCAAGACTACACATTTTCTACAGCATGTAATTTAGTATACAGATCAACTTTCCAGGTTTCAAATAGTCAATGAGAAGAGCTTTTCATCTTGCAGATTCCCAAATTATTTTGCATATACTGGTACTGCATCTTCTTCCCTGACCCACCAAAAAAAAAAAAACAAAAAAACAAAACATAAAACAATGAAACGATCTCACCTCCAATCAAACCCACAGAGATTTTGGCAAAAATAGTATACATCAAAACACAAATAAATGATTGGGGATGAAGTGAGCATTAATAGGTCCATTCAACTGAGACATTTTTCTTAAACACTACAAGCTTCTAAACAAGTGCCGAGACATATTTCTTAAACACTATAAACTCCTAACCTTACTGCCAACATACGTAGGTCAGACATTGAAAGCTAACAAACAAAAGAAATTTTTCTTTTTGTTTTTTTGGGGGGGGGGGGGGTTAAGGACTAACTAATTTCAGCCATCCAACACAAACAACTAAATCCTTTGTCCACTTTCTACTCTTTCAACGTCTCCACTTTCTTTCCCCTCTTCCGTCTAAAACTCCAAGGCGTTTTTGCATTTTGGGCATGAAGTCTTGTACTCAATCATCCAAGTGAACAGGCAAGCACAGTGAAAATCATGAGAACAACAAGATGTTTTAGCAACAAGCTGACCAACTTCAGGTTCATAAGCACAAATTAAACAGTTGTCAGACACCTGATCATCAATAGAAACAATCCTAACTTCCAAAAAGGATCTGATTTCTTCAAAGTTGTTTGATGCAGCAATCTCCTCCGGAATTTCACTCGCCACGACTTCTCCATCAACTCTCGGCTGCATATCACGCAAAAGGATTCCATAACTATCCAAACCAGGATCAGATCGGGCAGAGATGGTTGCATCTAAATCAACCAAAACAAGAAGATGACTCTGATGGTCTTTCGAGAAATGGGGACGAAACTGGCAGAAGAATAAACGAGCCAACTCATGTACCATCACGTTCAGATTATCGGCCGAACGAAGAACTTCAATTCGGCGACAAATCTCATCGAACCTTTCTACGGTAGCCCTAAAATCCAAGAATTGCACTTGCTGACTCTTAGTATAGGGTACAGTGATTGAAACATTCTCATGCTGAAGGTTGTTGGGCTGAGCAGAGGGGAAATGGATGGCCGCTCGGAGCACAAACACACCAGAAGCCTTAGCCTCAGGCTCGGCCTCGCTTAACGTGGATTGGAAAAGTCGACACTTGTGAGAAAAAGCAGTGATCAGTGCCATTTTGGAAGTGGAATCAAAATGGAATTCTGCGGAAAGAGAGCCCTGAATCGATTCTTAGATCAGGTATTTCGCCAAACAGACGCTACCTCAACCAGCTGGTTTACATATTTCCCTTCTACCATTTCTCAACGGAGTAATCAACGCAAGAGAAACAGAACCTCCAGCTTTGCCCAAAAAAAAACAAAAACCTTAAACATTCAATCAATCAAATAACTGAAGGAATCCAGATCTATTTCACGAAAAAAAAAAAAAAAGAGAATCTGACCTTCCAGATCTCAAAAGCCAAAGTGAGGATCTGGTAGTACTACTTGAGCTTTCAAGAAGAGAAAGACCAGCGGCAAGCAGAGTACAAGAAGCCTTTGTTTGTTCGGGAACACTCCAATACTATCTATCTAGTATATCTACATAATACTAAGTACTGACCAAAAACTGGTCTTTGACGGGTTATTCTGAGAACAGAGATTCGGGAAAGAAAGGATTTCGAGGAATTCGGAGCAGCAGCAGCAGCTGGCTAGCCCTGAATTAATTGATACTGTGAGTGTGAAACTTTTGATCGTTTTTTCTTTTTTTTTTTCAATTAAACCTAAGTTCTAATTGTGTGTATATTTCCCATGGTTCGATTGTAAATACGTAGGTGTATGTGGTTATTTTCCAAAGTTGGGGGAACTGGCGGCAAAAGGCCATCGGTGGTTGTGGATCCTTGAACTACGTTGATCTCGAAACAGGCACTCAACATATTTTTCACTGTATTCGTCTCAGTTAGCCTTTTCTTTCTGAAGAATTCCACATCTTTCTGAACCGACACAGGCTTTCTCTCACTACAAAATTCACTCACAAAAAACTGTTTCGAGTTTTCTCTCTCTATACTTATGGCGGCAGTGGCCTCCGAGACTATCTATGTCCGCCCCCGCTCTTTCCATGGAGCGTTCGCCATCCAGACCCGTCGCCGATGCTCCGTCTTCCGACAACTCCTCTCCTTCCGGCACGCCGGATCGCTCCTCCCAACTCGATGGCTCGCCATCCGCTTCTAGGCAACTTGATTTTCAGGTGTGCTGTTGACTTTATGCTTCTTTGTTTGTTAGTGATCACTGATCACTACTTTTTTTTTTTTTCAATTTTTTTTATTTGCGTAATGGTCTACTTTGATCATTAATTTGCCCTTCATCTTCTAGTTTACCTATCGATTTCTTGAAGTTCCTGAAGCGTTTGCCTTCCTAACGAGGGGGAAAAAAAAATGATGGAAAGTGTTGGGAGTTTGTTTTCTTGAAGGTGTATGTGTAATTCTTGAAAGTATCGAAATCAAGAAATACCTGCTTAAATGATTGCTTAAATGCTTTACTGTCTCTATGCTCAAATTTTATATACTGGAGAAGTATGTGCATGAGTTCCACGGTAGCATGCTGAAATTAGTAGTTGAAGTGCTTTATAACTGTAAATGATGTCTTGAAATGTACTGTAATTCTTCCGTTTTATATTTTTGGTTTGCAGAATCAATCAGCTTTCAGGAGTATAGGCAACTGTTTGGTCTCCCAGAAGATGAAGTGAGTAACTACTTGTGGCTTGTTGCTCCATAATTTTTAAATTTGGTGGACAGCAACATTTAATCCCAACACCTGGCTTTTGATGTTGTTTGCAAGTAACGTGACAGTATTACTTGCGTTTTATAGTTACTTTGGAGTGCTGTTGCTTTTGCAAATTTCTCACAGGTCTTTCTCTTTCTCTGTTATTATGCAACTCCATGAGGTTAACTCTTTTTATTGTTAAAGTAGCAGAATAGCCAAATAGATCTTTCACATTGTCTGCTCTTCTAAGGAATATACAAGGCCAATTATTTCATATGACTGAATAGATGGATGATTTCCATTTTCAGTTGTAATGTCATGGGTTGATTTGACTTTGATTTTTTGTTTAGGAAACCAGACAGCCGGTGCTTACACAGGAATTAGTGTCCAATAATCTTCATAGAGTTGAATGGCACTTTAAGAATAATGGTTCCTTCTCTTATTCAATATTTTCATTTTTTGGCTCTTAACTAGCTATTGTCTTCTGGTTGCAAATTATGAGTTACAGGGGACTCTGTTTCCGAGTCAATGTGGCTCTATCTCCTTCACTGCCTCCGCCGTGGTGGACTACAACAGGGGACTTTGTTTCAGGTTTATGATCTGGATAATCGTTTGTGTAGACCCTCAAATTGGGCCTTCTCAAGTAAAATTACAGAACACATCCATCCCATCTAAAATTGCTGAAGAGCAAGGGTCAAACTCGCAAAGACCACGAGTGAGTATATAAAGACAAGTGCGCTGATATTCCCGGAAGGTAGCTCGATCAAATGCATCGGTGCTACGTCGAAAGGAAGGCAAGTCGGCCAAAGCAAGGAATTTGAAGGTCACCAAAATTAACCCGGCCAATCGATTCAGGAGACTCTTCACATCTTCGGTCAAATCCCCACTTCTTCTTTGGGGGAAATCAACCAACATATAACACCCGCCCAAGGCGGCCAATAAATTTCTGATCTAACAACAGTGACAGTGAATGGGAGGCTACTTCGAAACTCACTAGCCTCAATTTATGAACCGCCGCGATTTCCACCTCATACGCGAACAAAGTCCAAAAATTCTCATCATCATTCTCAAACAATTTCAGAAAATACGGCCACAGTGTATGTCTAAGGGGAGAATCAGAAGAAGTATTGAGCATGACCGACATCATTGCCCGCTGGTTATATCTTTCATTCTCGACCTTCAGAAAACCCGCCAGGTGCGCCTCCAAGTAAGCCTTCAAACCTCCAACGGCGCGTCTCATGACATGGCTGGTGTGAGGCAGAGTTATGTATCGGAGTACCACAGCGCCGAAATTGGTACAATTGTCGACGAGGGCCCACATGGTCATCACGTCTCCAATGTAATAACACTCATCTAGGAACTCCTTCGTTGCTGAATCCCAATTCATTGGGAGGGCAAGGTTTTCGGACTTTCTCTGTGACAGAGAGGGAGGGTTTTGGGAGGGTTTTGGGGACGACGCTGTTGACCCCTTTTTGACCGTTCGAATTTCCTTTTTTTTTTTTTTTTTTGGACCCCCTAAAAGTTAAAACACATTTTCTTACAACTTTTCAATCATGAATTTGAATAAAAGAAGAAATTATGGAAGGTGAAGCCTTAAATCTAATTCCCTACGTTCTTCCCAACAAAATCACTTACAAATTAAACTCCCGAAGAATTAATTAATTTACGAAACCAAGTTTTGCATTTCATCAAACTTTATCTTTGATCTGAATTTGAATATTTGCTTCTCCTTCTTTTACTTTGCCAGAGCTTGCACCTTTCGCATGTTTTTTTTTATCGAAGCTTTGTGCCATTTTTTATGTTATATAGTATTACCTCCGTCCAAAAATTATTGTCCAGTTTTACAGTTTACTTTTAGTACAATTTGAACTAACAATAAAAATCCAAATTTTTGGGATGGAGGAAGGAGTCCGTATCCAGTGCACCCAGGTATACCGTATACCCGCACCAAACACACGCACTACACGCGCTCAACATTTTTCACATTTACATTAAATGCACAAACAAAATTGTTTTCATCCATTTTACTGTTTTCATCCTCACGCACAAACACACACCATTACTGATTATCTATAATTTATCCACAAGTTGTAAACTGGTTATCCAGAAGGGGTAAACTGGTTATCCAGAAGGTGTAAACTGGTTATCCAGAAGGTGTAAACTGGTTATCCAGAAAGGGTAAACTGGTTATCCAGAAGGGGTAAACTGGTTATCCTGAAGGTGTAAACTGGTTATCCACAAGTTATAAACTGGTTATTCAGAGGTAAAGAAGCAAACAACATGTTAATTGGGGGGCTTCGCCCTCCATGATAAACTAAACGACTCTTGCGGCTACCGGAATCCCAGGTCACCAACCTGCCCCGGCTGCGCCACCCCGCCGAACACGCTAATTTAGCTAAGGTAATCCTTTTTTCGTGTGTGTATAAGGAGAGTGTGTTATTGCATTAAGAGGGGGCACAAATTACTTGTATAAATTCCCCCGTGATAAACTAAACGACCCGGCTGCGCCGCCCTCCTGCCGAATACGGTAAATTTCATAAATAGTATTTAATTGAATGAGGGGAAGTTTGTCAAATGATAGAGAACAAAAAATGAATGAGGGGTAGTTTGCCAAATGATGGAAATAAGGTACGTTCAATTATGTATAACTAATTATCCATATTGTCAATACTGGTTATCCAACTGTGTATAACTAATTATCCATATTGCCAACACTGGTTATCCACATTGTGAATACTGGTTGTCCATAGTGTGTAGCTGGTTATCCATAGTGTACACACTAGTTATCCAGCTATGTTTAACTAGTTATCCATAGTGTGCACACTGGTTATCCACAGTGTCAATGCTGGCACAGTAAGTTTTCAAAATTTGAATGAATTCGGTAATTTATATATGCCACGTTAAAAAAAAAAAAGCTAAATTATCTAGCGAGCTCACGCTATTCTAAGAGAGTAAAATACACACGCAGGGGGTACACGGTGCCCCCGGGTGTACCAGATAATTTGACGGAGGAAGTACTATATACGACACGATTGACGTAATACCAACATGCTAACCAAATTGTAAGCTTTCGTTAAGTAATTAAACACATGTCAATCATTATTGAATTTATGGTCCGAAAGAAAATTTGGAAAAAAACCTAACCATTGCCTTTTATTTATTTTATTATTTTGGAAAAAAATAGTATACATTATAAAAACAAAAGAGTTTGCTAGAAACAAAAAAGAATGTATACGGTAATTCTTCTTAAAAAATTTCCATGTAAGAAAATACTCAAAACAGTTGAACTAACCGTTTCTAATATCTTTTAAATCAGATTCTTGCATTGCCTAGTACTCTACTTGATATAAGACCTTTGACATTACACAGGTGGTGAACCTTAAACCACTGAAAGAATGCAGTTGGTCCTAGAAAGATTGAATTATCTTCACAATCAACTCTCCTTTCCGCATAGCACTCTCACCATTGTTAATTAGCTCAGACATATGCATATATACAGAGGATTCAAGTTTGTGGGGTGGAGTGTGTGACTGAAAATAAAATTTACGAGGCATCTGGGAATTTACAAGGCATCTGTCTCCCCAGATCCACAACGATTTTGCCTCCAAAAGCCCATCCATTCTTGCTGTTTTAAACCTTTCTACTTAGAAGAGATTTTTCAACAAAGGATGTACTGGAGCCTATGTTTTTGCCAACTGACTTGTTATTCATATTCAAAGCAATCTCAAAAAACGTTACATCATAGACACTTTAGGCCATATCATAAATATGTTTAACATCATCTAAAGACTCTCCTCTAACCTGATCCTTACCCTCCCCCCCTAAAAAAGCCTTTAGATACCAGCCCTTCGTCAAACTGACCAGGGATGCCCTGAAACAATCCCCTTAATTCAAGTCAAATCGAAGCTGACGAGGGTACCTAAATGGACCCTTCTTTGTCAAACTCAACAACAGCATTGGCAGCTAAGCTTTTCAGATAACACTACCTTTACTTACATTTATAATACCTAAAAACGTAGAAGGCAAAGAAAACAATAACAAAGGCAAAATTAACCACAGAATAAGCCAGTAATGGAAAAGAAACTCCAGGATGTGTAGTAAACACGAACATAGCCAAGAACAAACATGGATAACTGGAACAGGATAACCTACAGAACAGACTATCAAAACAATTCATCGACTCAATGACGGGATGTAATTTTGATCAAACACAAGGAAAACTCTCATCAGCCAACCTTAAACAAGGGGAACTAAACTCACCTCACTTCCCTAAAACAACAGCCAAGTTTGGATGCATAACAACTAAAAGCTCCCAAATAACCCGACCTTAACAACCAACCATTCTAAGAAGGATTAAAACCCGCTGAGAATCAATAATCCCATTGCCGAAAAAAAAGAACAAGACTGAAAGGACGATAGCTCAATCTTCGAAACCAAATATTTCCAAGAAGTAGATAGTATCAAAAGAATGTATACGAAGAAAATTAAACACTCGGCACCAAATTGGCACCGTAATAAAACATTATTGCATCAAGACCGGTCAAAGCACAAAACTCCTAAGCATAAACTCCCCAACAAGTGTTGGGGAGGGGGGGAGGGGGAGAAGAAATGTCATCAGTCACCTCAAAACTCTTACAGCATCACCAACAATTCATATAATTCAACACAACATTACACTGTCACGTCAGCATTCCACTATATTCTCACTTTACACACTTTTTTCTTACAACAATATTACACTCATTATCCATATAATTTTGGACCCACAATTACCCCACTATTATTACCTCATATCTATAATACTATACTATTTATAAAAATAATTACATTTATTTTCAATAATTAAATTCATTTTTCATAATTACATTTTTTATATACAAAAAATAACATTTATGTATGACTTTTAAAGTACATTATATAATTTTATTATTTTTTAAAAAAATATAAAAACATAATTAAATAACATAAGAATATAAAGAAGCTTAATAACCATTGAGTGAACAATATATTACTAAAGTAAAATAATACTCCCTCCGTCCCATAATTATTGTTCAGTTTTACTAAAATGAAAGATTTTATTTTTAGTCAAACTTAACTATATTTTACCTTAAACAACCGGATATACCCCTATATAAGTAATTATTTAACCACTAAAGTTTTATGGATAATATTTTTTACTAAGGACAAATGTGTAACTTGATCAATAAAAAGTCAAATTGGACAATAATTTTGGGATAAAATTTTTTAGGCAAAGTGGACAATAATTATGGGACGGAAGGAGCACAAAAAATAAAGACATGAAAAGGGTTTTGCTGGTTGGCAAAGATATTCTTTTTAAAAATAAAAAATAAAACAGAATTTATACAAAAAAAGGACACGAAATAAAAAGTAGAATAGTTAATTTAAAAATAACCTTAACGAAATTTTGATAAAAGAGGACCTTGATGGAGATAGCTAAACATATAAAAATATTTAAAATTAATTAATAACATTAATCCTCATCATCGAAATTATTTTGAAAATAAAAATAGAATTAACCAAAAAAATAAAAACGGAAAAGGAAATAAAAATCTGCAAAATGCATATGAAGAAAAGAAAAAAAAATAGAGGAAAAAAGGGAGGCTTGCGATGTTGTAGGCTCCGCTCGCGCCAACTTGTTGTCAAATTAACCCGTGTGAAATTTTTTACATCCCTAAGATCATTATCTCACTCACAATGAATGAGTTGTTTATTTGCTCTGACATTACACAACAATTTTATCATTGTTGTGAATGCCTTAATAATAACACCAAATTACAGAGAAATAGCATCCTCATGCAACTGGAGGGTCAGAGGAGCATTCACCAGAATGAACCCATTTATCATCAGTGTCCCATATTATTCACTATCACCATCATCAAACCCGGTCGTAATCAGAATCATACCCTTCATACCCTTCTTCAACAGCATCATTGTGTTCACCATTGAGCAGAACAGTCTTGGGTAACTGCATATGAAGTTTCAACAGCCTTACTTCAGGTGGGGTGTAGTAATGAAGGATCATAACAGGACGGCTCTGTAAAATCGACACAAACAACAATGACAAAATTATTACCCAAGATAATAAAGAAAACTTGAAAATTCATTCGTGCACTTGAAATAATACTGTATAAGATTTTGCAACTAGCAGGATCATGGACATTAATAATTCAATAAGGTTTGGTTTGACATACAAATATACTAGTAATCCAGACCTCTAAAATATTTTAGTTTCATCTTAATCTTTTTGTGCTAAATACTCCAACCATTATTTGTATAACAAATGCAAAAAAATGATTTAAATTAACTCCTCCACGAATTATTAATTACTTCATATATAACATAATAACTAGAATAAATCAGAAAACTGCAGATGTATGGAAAAACGGAAAAAGCAACAAAAATAAAAGAAGCTAATAAAATTACCTCCGGCGCCGGGACAAGGACAATGTCTCCGGGGGAAACACGGTCCTTGTCAAGCCCACTAAATTCGGCAAGACAGACTCGTTTGATACCATCGTTGATACCCACAGCTTCAAAAAAGCCGCGCCTATCCAGCAACCGGGTCACCTGAGCATAGTCCTCTCCTTTACTCCCAATCCTCATCTCCAGATATGGAACCCTATCTCTTACTCTTCTTCTGGAACCACTGCTACTCGACATCTTCCTTTTGATCTTCCTTCTTACGCCAAAAGTACTTTTGCCTGCACGATTAATTTGACGGGAAACCCTACCTGGTTTGTTGCGGCACAGGAATTTCCCCCTTTTTTTTTCTTTGAACCCAAAATCGTTTGATATTTATCAACTTTTAATCCTATTTATTTATGGGTTAATATAAAATACAGCCCCCCAAGGTTTGATCTTTTATCTAATACAACCTTACATTTTGGATAAATATCCGATACACCACTTGACCGGCCAAACATGGAAGTCAAATCAAATGGTGAGTAACATCCAAAAAGTTCACATCGAGTTACAATATTATTGATAGAGCTGCTGATTATTCGGGTACACCCGACCAACCGCCCGACCCGAAACTTAATCGGGTGATTCGGGTCGGCTATTCGGCTGACATCGTGAAATTTCAGCTCTATCCGAACAGCCAAATAGCAATTGCGATTTGGTTTCGGTCGGTAGAGTTGTTGTTCGGGGGCCGACCGAATTACCCGATTAAATGATTTTTTAACATTTTTATATTAAATATATATAGTAAATTTCAGCTGAATTGTTTAGGGTTTACATTTTTTTTCTCATTTTCAGAAATTATTCTCTCCTTCTTCTTTGAACCTCTGTGTCGCCGTTGACGGCAACCCAACGCCGCCGGCATTCCCACCACAATCTCACCTCCAAAATCACCTCCACGAATTCTCTCATTTCCCACCTGCAAAGCCCTTTTAATCGACCAAATCCATCACCAATCCAACCTAAAACTGGATCTGGGGTTTCAGTTCGACAGTTCCCAATTTGGGGCTTTTTTTTCAATTGATTGATTCGATTCGTCCACCTCTACGACTTCTCTTCCTATTTCCCACCTCCACCACCCAGTTAATCGACGCAATCCATCACCAATTAAACCCAAAACCAAATCTAGGGTTTCACTGTTTCGGTTTCGGAAATCGGAGATGATGTTAAACATGGTCAATTTGACCCAAAGCTTCAAGTCCTTGGCCAATTTAACCCAAAAGAATTTCCAGAAGCCAATTTCATCCGCACTGTTCCACTTTTTGGCCAATTTAGTCCAATTCCATTAATTTATTAATAAAATAATACAATTTAGTCACCAAACTGCCCTATAGTTTCAAAAAATTATAAAAATAACCCTAAAAATGATAAATTTAACAAAATCACCCCTTTTATGTTTTTATTTTAATTTTTTCTTAGAGTTAGTAAAATCTGACTTTCTTTAGACATGTCTTTGAATCCATTGCTTTGTTTAGAGTGATGCAAACATTTAAGTGAAACAGGCTTAATTGCAACTTGCTTACTCAGTGATACATCATTCATTTCTGGCTAGGCTAATTAACAGCCACAAAGTGACCGTCAGCTAATAGCTTTGCAAAGTGATTGTGATTCTTGCTCTGTTTAATACCTTTCCCTGCCTCAGTATTTATCCAGTTTCTTTCCCTATAAGCTACACTTTGGAGATGCTAAATCAAAGTTTACTCCTGTAGTCCTGTTATTCCATAGTGAAGAATTGTTGCATTACCTCTCCTTGGATCAAACAACATTCTCTATACTTTATTTCCCCCCATAAAATCCGTAGCTTATTTAAGTAACTTCTAAGTAGCCATATATGGGTGCCTTCTTTAGTTCATTATTTGGGTGCTCAAACTGATCACGGACATTTCCATTCATAATATCTACTAAAGGGTTCTTTTCATAATTCGTCACTTATTGTGATTCAACAATGCGTAATGTGGAGATAATTAATTTATTCTATGGTCTCTTATATATTTGTGAATCAATGTTGTCGATCAAAAATTATGAGTGGAGTCACTCAAATGAATTAAGAATCAAGAAATTGATTATGATTAAAAAAAAGAATTTGTTTAAATCAAAGTTACAAGAAAATAAAATTCACTTATAACAAAATATAAAAAATAATTCATAATAAAAACTCAAAAGAATAATTTTTTAACTCTGCATGCTATAAATTATTGTTGCCAGTCACAAGTCCTGATAAAGGAGAGAGTTGAGTTTGGTTGACACCCAACATTTAGAAGAAAAAAAATAAACATATAACATTTTATATTGTTTTAAAAAAGGCCCCAAAGTCAAGACTTGCATCCAAATACATGGACCCGCCAATGGTCTGAAACTCTGAATTGAACTTATTAAGCGAGTTTTGGTTTTTTTTTTGGTTAAAATCTAAAAAAGATTTTTTTTCTGTTCTTTGTAGATAAAGAGAATGACTCAGGAGCTTTGGAAAATTATGTACTTGTTTGGACGTCATTTTAATTTTCATTTTTCACTCATTTTATCTCTTAAACACAAAACCCAATGAAAATTAAAATGACGTCCAAACAACTTTCTGATTTATATTTTAAAATCAAACTTGCAACATTTTATTAGTGTAGGATCATTTTTGGAAACTAAAATTAGTGTAGTGACCATTTTTAAAATTAAAATTAGTGCAGTGACCATTTTTGGAGCTACAAATTAATTCAGTGACTAAATCCAAAACTTTGCACATTTTTTGATCCATTGTTTAGTGATCACTTTTTAAACTCTTTTTTTTATAGTGACTAAAATTGACACTTTTCGATTGTTTAGTGATATTTTTCGTAATTGATATTTGAATAAAAAAGAACTTTTTGTTAAAATACCATCCAAACAATTTTTTCATTTATCATTACGTTTTTTACTTAAAACACGTCTCACTTTTAAGTGACAAAATGATATGTAAAATGAAGTACAAACAAACCCTAAGTGGGAAGATGAATTAGACCAACTGGCCATTAAAGTCAAAAGCCCAGGAGAGACTGTGCACGTCCATGCTCTGTTGCTAAAGGAAAAGGCATCTTCAAGCCGTAATGATGGTAATTTATCACCCCCACGGTCCACCCCACTTATTTGAATTAGACGTAAGATTAATTTTGTTGTCATAAAGGAAGGTATGACGGAAATTTTGAACCAGTGAAAACTTTCTGCAGAAGCACCGAAGAATAGAATGCTGCAGTGGGATCAGGGGAGACATCATCACCATGCCATATTATAATTCATGAGAAACAACAATTTTTTAGAAGTTTACATTAACTTCTAATAGCACTATGTTGTTTCTTAGATGCACAAACTGGAGAAAGTTGTCCAGCCCCATTCAGTTCGATGTAGAATCCCTAAAAGGAGCTCAAGTTTTAAAGCGTGTGTTCATCACAACTTCACAAGTACAAAAAACCATTGCCTTACCCAGAAGTTGAGTCCGCAAATACCAAGCCTGAGGAATCTATTCTAATGAGAAACTTCAAATTTTCTCTTGTTGACCTTCGAGGAAAAGAGTTTTACTGATATTTTTGGCACTTGGCACCAAGTTATGCTCGTACGAGGACTAATCAAGGTATCCCACAATCTATGATTAGCAATCAGCAACCAACAACCCAGTCTACTCCTGAAGACATTGTTATTGTCCGGCAAAAGAGGTTTTTGGGATTAGTTCAAACTTTGTAGGATTTGGTTTAGGAAAAAGGACAAAAATCCCCCCGAGTTATGTCCAAAGGACAAATTGCCCTCCGACATTTCTTATAAGGACAATAACCCCCTGATCCCTAAGTCAAAGGACAATTTGGCCCTGAATCAGCAAATCTTAGTGTAAAAATACAAAAATAACCTTAAATCCAAAAATAATCTTTTTCAAGATCAAACTTAACCTCCAATCAATTCGTTTAATTTTTTTTTAAAATCCTTAAACAGTTTGCGCCAATTAAATTCGCCGTTGACTCCGTTTTAATGCATTATTTATCCCTATTACTCAATAAAAACAAACCCGAGATTGAGAATTTAATCTTTCAAACCCATAAATTCTATTTAGCCTTAATAAAAATAAACCCTAGATTGAGAATTTAATCTATTAAAACCATAAGTTCTATTTCTCAATTTAATCTATCAAATCATAAATTTTATTTATCCGGATAAATAGAATTTATGATTTTGATAGATTAAATTCTCAATCTCGGGTTTATTTTTATTTAGGTGGCAGTGATAGGGAGAAATAATACATCAAAATGGAGTCAGCGACGGATTTAAAATGGCGAATAATAGAATTTATAATTTTATAAAAATAAACGAGTTGGTCGGAGGATAGGTTTGGTGTAAATATTTTTTTAGATTTAAGGGCATTTCTATCTTTTCACACTAAGATTTGCTAAAGCAGGGGCAAATTATCCTTTAACCTGGCTGTCAGAGGGGTTATTGTCCTTATAAGAAATGTTGGGAGGCAATTTGTCCTTTAAACATAACTCGACGGGTTTTTGTCCTTTTCCCATTTGTTTATGCATATATTTACATGTGCTTGGTCAAGGGGCTTCCTCATTTTATTCATGTGTCAACATTGTTACTCCCTCTATTCAGAATGATTGTCTAGTACAACTAACATGACAACCATCTTTGGGTAGAAGAAATATTGATTTTTTAGGATGGGATGGTGAAATAATTTTTGAATGTTCTTGGCCATTGAGATCAGTCAACACCTCTGTCTTTGGTAATTTGTTTTGGCTTCTTTTTTCCCATGATACTTTTTCTACTAGTAATGTTCAAAGATCAAACTAATAAAAAAATTTTACTTATTTGTCGGCCTATTATATGAAGGAAAATTGCCATTCCAAAGAGTTAAAAATGGGGCGACTGAGAGAGCGAAGTAGTTACTGCTTCAAGATGATACTCATTCTGCGCAACTCCAAGATCAGTCTGTAATAAGCTGCAGAGTTTAACTCTTTACAGATTATTGCATGAAATGAAGTACTGCAGAAGTCACTAAGAAGACTAGTATACAAACAAATGAAAAATCTGACAATAATGGAAAGAACTAATCTGCCCCTCTTGAAGTAAACACTGCTAAAATGCAGTCCGCCAACTTCAAACACTACTCAATTCCCATATCTTTTGAATTTAAATAGGCTGATATTCCGTGCTCACTGTCCACTGATCGAAAGTTAAGTCACAATGCAAATATTGTTTTCACAACACAAACTTGATATCCTGATAATGATTTTCTGATATCCTGCCATGCATGAAATTAACAATCATGTTTTTCCAATCACAATGGAGGCTATAGCTGCAAGCGACAATATTCCTATG